GGTGCCGCCACCGGGCACCAGGTAGAAGGAAGCCGACTCGGAGGCCAGAGGACCAGCCCACGAGTGGCTCCGAGCCCCCACGGGCCAGCCAGCCACGGACACCACTGGGATCAGATCGAAAAGTAGGAGGCGGCGCGGGGGCCCCGGCGTCGCCAAGAGGATGGTGGTGAAACCAGCGTGGCGAGCTGCATGCACCAGGCGCGGGGCACCCGAGACAGGGATCAGGGACTCCGCGACTGCTGCTAGCGAAGCAAAGAACCAGGCAGCCACCTGGGCGGGGCATAATGTGGGCCACGCCTCCTGAGCCTCCGACGGCTTTGGGACTGGACTTTCGACGGCTGCCTTGGTGACGTCACTGCTAAGTGTTTTCAGAGATCCAGGAGAGCCAAGGTCAGTGACGTCATGCGGCGACTCAGACCCTGAAACATCAAGAGGTGATGTTTCCAAAGACTTTTGTGGCTCGTGCTCAGTGACGTAATCATGCGACTGGTCCACTGAGTTTTGCCAGTCCTTGGGAATTTCTTCGCTCTCAGTTTGGTGGATCGAATCATGTCCTCCTGGGACCGGGGGTCCTAGGCAATCCTGCCACGTCTCCCGGGTGGAAGTTCCACACACCAGCTCTGGGAGGCGGAACCATGCGGAACAGGATTCCAGGTCTAGTTGCAGCCCAGTGCCGTCCAGCGAAAACACGGGCACTAGGAGTGTAAAACCGGCGTCGTAGTGAGGTCCCCGGGCGTAGGGGCCCAGGGGTGCATGCCCCAGATCCAGGGAGCCCTCGCGAATTCCACCACGAAGCAGCAAGAGCTCTGCCTGGGGAGGAAAGCGGGGGTCCCGGCGGTGAACTAGACCTAAAGAAAGAAAAGGGATCGTGAGGGCGTCGCCCAAAGCCTGAGCAGGGGCGTGATGAGGCTGAGAGCTGCAAGTTCCCAAAGCAAGAAGGGTTACTTACCAATCAAAGAGAAGACAAAGTCCTTAGCCCGGAGGAGGTCTGCTCCCGGCTTGGGCCCGTCACTCCAGCTTTCCTGCACACCCAGCTCCTGAATCAGCTGGGTCAGTTCCTGCAGTTGAGCCCCAGAGCAGAAGTCGATGTCCGTGAGCGGCCGGGCTGGGGCTGGGGGTGGCGGGCCCCACCAGGGGACACTCCCCCAGACCGCGGAAGCCATGCGGCGCTATCGGTTTTGGCTAGGAAAAGCACCGAAGGGTGGTAGCCTAGACCGGCTTTTCCTTTACTGCCAAAAAAGTTGTCCCCGTTCTTCCCTCTTTCCAAGGCCCAGCAAGTGCCCCAGACACAGTCCACAAAAGGGTCTGCAGATAAAGAATTCTACATTTAGCCTTTAAAATGAACAAATAAATACTTTCTCTATCCTTGTCCCTTTCTCATATGTAGGTCCCCGCATTCGTGAGCCGGTACACCTGATTCAGCAGGTAAAAAAGAAGCTACTGGCCCCTCCTACGGAATGCAGTAGCCAGTCTCCGCTGCCCCTTTCTTCCTCCCCTTACCTCTTTTTTGGAAAAGTCTTACTGATCTACGGCTTTCCCTTCAGGAGTTGCAGTAAGGGTGGGGAAGAGAAAGGATCAATTCAACAGGTTACTTCTTCCTGATGCCCGTATAGCCACGCCCCTACATTTTCGACACCGCCCCTCTTTGGAGCTTGTCGGGCTGGTTTCGGCCAGGTCAGGTGCCCTGAGTTCAGTCACTCCTTTCGCCCCGCTGAGATCTCGCGTTATCCTGGGAATTGTAGTTTGTTTCCCGCGCTACTAGGGCGTTGAGCCACGCCCCCACATCCTTTCCCGTTCCGCTGAAGTAAAGTGCCTGATGGAAGTTGTAGTTTCTCTGGAGATCTATACAATTCTGTCTTTTTATGCAGGTCAACCCCATACAAACATTTTGAGGTTGGAGTCGAGGGGCTGCAGGATGGATATGAATAGCAAACAATGAGGGATACGCCCTAGGGCCTCGGAAGAAATAGCTCCCCCAACCCATGTGTGAGTGCAGGAGCCCTGGTAACTTAGCTCTGAAAGGGTTCTTCCGTGCAATTATAACTTCTTCATTTTGGGGATGAGGAGAGTGTAGCTTAGAAAGATTGCACGTGACTTGTCCAAGGTCAGAGTTGAGCCAGAGAGGTGTTGAAAAGGGGATCCCTGGCAGGGTGAGAAGGCATCTTCTTGGAATCAATGATGGTAGTGCTAGGCAGGAACACACAGACAATGGCCCAGAAATGGACATCTGACTCATGGAAAAACAGTGATGCTCACCTCAGGTCACCATGACCTGAGTCATAGCAGGGAAAGCACTTTGGAATTTCAAGTTTATATGTATACACAAAAGAGTTATCAAGGCTGAAAATCAAATCCAGAAGAAACTCCCCAGCTGTGCTGGGGCAGGGCAACGGGAAATGATCAAGGGAAGGAATCTGCTTTCAGTAACACATGCTATCAGGGACCAGAACACAGCTGTTACCCACTATAGGACCAGGAGTCAGGATAATGGGGCAGAACGATAGGAAACCAAGGGCAGGATCACAGATCAGACCAATCCACCGCTGGACTTGGATTTTTACATTCCTTCTGCCCTCAGCCTGTCTCTAGAAGAAATAAGCTTAGGTCCATGGGCAGGAGAATTAAGTAGGGACACCTAGAAAAATTAGGGCCTGTAAAGGGACTCCTGAAATCCAGAACTCAATTTGGGAAGCCTGGACCTCAAAGTTCCTTGAATCACTGACAGGGATCCACAGTCACTGATAGGGAAAACTTTTCCCCCTCAACAACCAGGACTGGGGTTCCTGGGGAAACGGAGAGCACCCCAACACAGTCCAGGACTAGGGAGATATATATATCTTTTTTTGTGACCCAAGAGACCAGATCAGGAGAACTAAAGACTGGGCTCTTTCTCACAGTCTGGGGTAACCTGGCGCCTGGCTTCCCTACCTTTCACCTCCCCAGAAGTTTGGCTTATGAGGCACTTGAAAAAGAACTAAGTTATCTGAACTCTGTGGGAGCTTTGACGATGTTGAGAATGAGGGACAAGGGAAAGTTCTTCTATACCCTAAAGTATGACCCTCCAATAGAATTTTCTGCAATGATAGAAATATCCTGAATTGGTTGCTGTCCAGTACAATACACTGGACACATGCTGTTCAGTACACTAGCCACATGTGGCTATTGAGCACTTGAAATGTAGATAATAAGACTGAGCAACAGAAGTTTAAAATTTGGGTTGAATTTACTTTTTTTTTTTTTTTTTTGAGTTGGAGT